TAACCCGCGCCCTGTACTGTGGCACTGCTTCATTCCAGGAGACAGGAACCCAGTAACCCGCGCCCTGTACTGTGGCACTGCTTCATTCCAGGTGACAGGACCCCGGTTGACAATGAATGCAGCTAACAGCATCTGCCTGTCCCCAGTGATCTTTCAACACACAGACCAGTCCAGTGGCACAAGCCCTGGTTATTCTGGCCTGCTGACTGGAGTACAGGCTTCACCAATGCTAAACAACGTGCTTACTTATATAGACTGCCCAAATTTCTTCCATAGCAAGCCATGAAATGCAGCTGAGTAACTTCCTAAAGCACTGACCACAAAACTACCCATTTCAACTAGAATCAGCAATCTCAATCCATAATGTCACAGGAAGGCTATTCTGACAGAAATATGTCTTAATAATGCAGAGAAAGCTATACTCTGTATTTAACTAACCCTGTGCTGTCCCTGCTCTGGGAGTGTTCGATGGCCTGGGGTGGGGTGGGGGGGGAGAACATGACGACACTGTATAGAGTGTTTTACTCTGTATCTAACCCCATGCTGTCCCTGCCCTGGGAGTGTTTGATGGGGACAGTGCAGAGGCAGCTTTACTTTGTATCCAACAGTGAGCTATACCCGTCTTGGGAGGTTTTGATGGTGACAGTGTAGACAGGACTTTAATGAATAGCTGACTTGAGCTTCTAAAAAATAAAAAAAGCTGTATGCATTGCTGAACACTGCTCCGTGCCCAGTCATGAACCAGATCTTGTGGAAATGTATCACTTCCTGATTGAAAGTTTTACTCCCGTCTCTGGGATAATCTTTGTAGTGATTAATGTTAACATCATGAACTCCAGGATAATATAAAGCTGGCTATGTTGACAAGGGGTGCAGTATTTCAGTATAAATTGCTGTCCTGATGTTAGAACCATTTTGAATAGTTATATGACCCCTTCTCTCTGAGTGAAACCTCTCCAGTTATAATAGCCACCTTGCGATGCTCAACAACCTACCTCTGGCCATACTCAAGAGTCCAGAGAACAGTAGGGACTCACATCTCCATCTACATTATACAGTATAAAAATACACGGAATGTGAAAAATACCACAGGGTGCATTCAAAAAACAAGACGGCAGTTGCAACCTGACTTCCTGTAGCTACTTCAGAATGGCAGTGCCCGAATACCCCTTCCCGAAAACATACACGCAGGAACACTGGCTCTGATAGAGTTAGCAGAAGACTCTTTCCCAGACTGGTAATGATCCATTAACTTGCGCCTTTGACAGGGCAGCTCTCTCAAAGGCCTGTGTTGGAGATCTGCTGAAATTCTGGTTTCAGAATAGGGCTCCTACTGAGCCAAACTAACACACTCAGCTGGTGCCATGTGTGGCCCTCTTATATCCTGGCTGGGGACAAGGGATTAAAAATGGGAGAAAACATTAAAAAGCAATGTGGGCTGCAGGATCTAATAGTGTGGAATGGAGTGGAGGCCAGAATGCAAATACAGACTGGTGACAGTCAGCCAGGCCTCATTCTGAACTAGAAAGCCTCAAAAGCCCTTCTGCTCTGCTGCCTTTCACAATCCAGTAGTGAGTAAGGGCGTATCTCCCACCTGGTACCCCAGCAGAGCCGATTCCTCCTCACTCTCTTCAGTGAAACGTCTCTTGTGGCCCTGAGGTGGAGGGAGGTGAGCGGAGGGTCTCGGTGCACCCATCATCCCATCATAAGCAGGCGTATTCACAGGTAATGGTGTGGCATAGCTGCCAACCACAGGGTTTTGCTGCACACAAGATGGAACTTCAATTAGGTCAACAAACACAACATTAACATGTGGGCAACCTCCAATAACAAGACCCATAGCCAGAGAACTCTCTCCCTCTCACCCAGAGTAGAAGCTGACAGGTACTAAGGATCCACAGGACCCTCACTGAAGTGACCAAGCATTACTGATACAACGCAGTGAGAGCACATTATTAATCAAACAGGGAAGGTAGTAACCACTCTCAGCCATAACGCAGTCCAATAGCCACTGTAATACGCAGACTCCCAACACAACAACGGAAAAAATGTGACATTCTGAAATAAACGAGCTTTCTAAACAGAACGGTTTGGACAATGCTCTGACTCAGAAACAGAGAGTCAAAGCTTGCTGGTAACCCAGGCCCAGACCCAGGTATAACCAGTATCACACACCCCTGACCCTCACTAACCCGACCCAGGTATAACCAGTATCACACACCCCCTCCCCTTCACTAACCCGACCCAGGTATAACCAGTATCACACACCCCCTCCCCCTCACCAA